ATATGCCTAAAGTGGGAAAAAATATATTAAAATTTGAACATTATTGTAATCAAATGCCAGTACCGTACGTAATTTAGGCCAACTTCGAAGTGCTTATCAAACCCATAGAAAATATCAACCATAGCAATCAAGATAGAAGTATTACGTACAAAACTCAAGAACATATTCCTTGTGGGTTTGGATATATAGTTGTAAGGTATGATGGGAAAACAAACACTCCCGTGATTTACAGAGGTCCCGATGCAGCGGGAAAGTTCCTAGAATATCTACAAAACGAAGAGAGAATAATAAGGGAAAATTTATCATGTAAGAAACCCATGTGTATGACGAGGGATGATTGGAGGGCCCATAAAAAGTCAATGAGTTGTCACGTTTGTAATAAACCCCTGGATGGGGATTCCGTAAGAGATCACTGCCACGTCACGGGTAATTATCGGGGAGCCGCGCATAACGAGTGTAACTTGAAACTACAAATGAATTCTCAAACAATACCCATCCCCGTTGTGTTTCACAACCTTAGGGGATACGATTCACATCTCATCATGCAAGCTATCTCAAAGACCGACGGCGGTTTAACGTGCATTCCTAATAATATGGAAAAATACATATCGTTCTCGTTGACTAAACCTATACATTATAGGGACAAGGATGGGAAATCTAGAATAAAACAAAGTAATGGGCTTAGATTCATAGACTCCGTACAGTTTCTGTTATCTTCCCTGGACAATTTGGCTAATGTGAACAATCCCGATGACTTCGCGATAACAAATCAATATACCGATAGGTTAACTCGTCATTTGTTGCTGAGAAAAGGTTATATCCTTACAAATATATGGATGATTGGTCTAGATTCGAAGAAACCGAATTACCACCCCTCAAATCATTCTATAGTAACTTAACAGAATCTAAAATAACAGATGCCGATTATGAACACGCTCTGACGGTGTGGGATAAATGAAGTTGTAAGAATTTAGGCGATTATCACGATCTGTACTTAAAAACCGATGTACTGTTACTCGCCGATATATTCGAGATATTTAGAAAGACATGTTTAAAACAATACGGCTTGGACCCGGCATGGTACTATTCCAGTCCCGGACTATCGTGGGATGCATTGTTGAAGAAGACCGGCGTAGAATTAAAACTACTCACAGATTACGATATGCACTTGTTTATTGAGAAAGGATTAAGAGGTGGTATATCGATGGCAGCGAAAAGGTATTCTAAGGCTAATAATAAATTAGTAGAAGGATACGATCCGAGTAAACCCGACACGCACATATTATATCTCGACGCTAACAATTTGTACGGATGGGCTATGAGTCAACCTTTACCCACGGGTGGTTTTGAGTGGGTCGATGAGAATGATATCGAAGTGAATAATATCAATAATATCAATGTGAATGAATCTAATAAAGGGTACATACTAGAAGTTGACTTGGAATATCCAAGTTCGTTACATAAAGATCATAACAGTTATCCGCTAGCTCCCGAAAGATTAATGGTTAATAAAGATTGGATGTCGGAATATCAACGCTCCTTGATGGGTAATAGTAGGTTAGCTAATGTAGAAAAACTCGTACCAAATTTGATTGATAAGACAAAATATATAGTTCACTACAGAAATCTCCAGTTGTATCTATCGCTAGGTATGAAACTTAACAAAATACACAGAGTTCTAAAGTTTGATCAAAGCCCTTGGATGGAGCCCTATATAAGGTTGAACACAGATTTAAGAAAGATAGCTACCAGCGATTTCGAAAAAAATCTATATAAGCTCATGAATAACTCAGTATTTGGTAAAACTATGGAGAATCTAAGGAAGCGTGTTGATGTTAAATTAGTCAGATCTAATGAGGAAGAAAGACTCAGGAAACTTATAGCCAGTCCGGCTTTTAACAGAAGCAAGATATTCGATAACGACTTAGCCGCGTTGCATATGCAGAAGAGTAATATAAAATTCAACAGACCGGTGTACGTCGGTATGAGTATTCTCGACTTGTCAAAACACTTAATGTATGACTTTTATTACAACGAACTTAAGAAGCAATACGGCGTTAGATGCAAGGTGTTATATACCGACACAGATTCTTTGTTGATGGAAATACAAACCGAGGATGTGTATAAAGATATGGCAGAAAAAATAGATATGTACGACACGAGCGATTACCCAAAAGATAATCCACTGCACAGCGTTGTAAATAAAAATGTATCAGGTAAGATGAAGGATGAATGTGCTGGGACCCCTATAGCGGAGTATGTGGGATTAAGACCTAAGATGTATTCTATAAAAAAGTCTGATAATGGAGAGATAAGAAAAGCTAAGGGCGTTAAGAAGTATGTTGTAAAAAAGCATATCAAACACGAACAGTATAAAGAATCATTATTCAACGGTAGAACGTTCAAACACAAGATGAACTCTTTAAGAAGTTACAATCATAGGATATATGGATTAAGAATGAACAAGACATCATTATCCCCCTTAGATACAAAGAGATGGATTGAAAAGGATGGTGTAACTACCTATGCTTATGGTTATGGTGGTAATACCGTACCGTTGGGAACTATGAACAACTCTTCTCGTACAAATGCCCTACCCGGTCCATCTTGAAGATAATAAAGAATAGGCTCTCCTTCTTTCGTAACCAATCGACTAATGTTATACGTCTTAAGGGACCATATGGGATCGGTTGCGCGACGTAGGCCTCCTTCGAGTTCACCTGCCTGGTATAAATATCTTACCCTTACTCTATCCGGAAGTTTTCGTTCTTTGCCTCTCCTCGGTGCTGAAGATTCGGAAGTCACGGATTTCATTTTAATAGCATCAGATGGTTTCTTTCCTATTAATCTCGTTACTTCATTATTCAGCGCTGATACAACAGCTGATAATCGTGTCACCCATTCGGTTGATCTCAATCGCATGGATTTCATTTCGATTCCATACTGATAGCCAAACAAACGTTCCGCTAATGTCCTGTTAAATCTTTCGACGATAGCTTGACTGCGGTGGGCCTCTCTTTCACCACGCCTGATTTCGACATCATGCTTTGTTAACAGTTTTGTTATCAATTCAATAAACTCGCGACCGGGATCTACTTGAAATAGCTTAGGCCATTTTAGTGGCCCGCGTTTATATATACGACTCAGCGCATTAGCTACCTCTGTTGATTCTTTCGAGGTTAATGGCTCAGCCTCTTTGTATCGACTAGCCACATCCACTACTGTTAAAGCGTATTTATACATTTTGCGTTTTACCTTATCGTGGGGAAGAAACAAGAGGTCAGCCTGATGAACTTCATTCGTTGTAAAAATATCAAACTTCTTCCTCGGTATATAACGCGGTGCCGGTAAATATATATGCCACATCGCTTGTTTCTTTAACCAATCCTTGGCCACATCTTTAGATACCTTAGCCGCAGTGGCTAATTTTTTTATTGCTCCTACACCTTTCCAATATCCTCGTGGGCTATAGCAAATTTTATCCATTATTAATTAATATTGATGTTTCTTTTAATACGACTATCGTTGAATCGCATCATCATTTTTATACTAATAGAAGCAATGATTGGCCCCAGGTATTGGTGAGCTAGAGCCAATTTAACTTAATCTCATGACTATCATTGAATCGCATAGTCATTTTGGCATAAAAAATTCCATCTGTAGTAGCAGTATTGGTAAATAAATCCAGCTCCAGTGGAGTTGCGGCAGAACCATCATTACCTATACTACTACCTGACTGTAATGGAAGAGGTCAAAATCATGTGACTGTAACAAGATGGTGCCTGATAGCATTATCACTATAAAATGAAAAAGATATGATCATTTGACCATCCGAGTGTTTACAGAAATAAATGTTGGCCTACCTTTAGAATACAGTACCACAAACTTTTCAAACACCTCACAATACCCTATGACATAATTATTAGTATTTTCTTGCCATTAACACCGGCAAAACAATGCCTTGTGACGTCGGGGGTCATCGTGTGTGCATAAGCTCCTCTCAGTAATCTGTTATTTCTCCATGTAATGTCAGAGAATAAGCCCAGCGATATTTGGAGTTTTGGAATATAAGTTTACTTAATATAGCTGATTTTTTTTTCTTAATTCAAGTGGCTAAAATTATCAAAAATGGGAACTACCCCTGGTAATATATATGTATTATTGTTTAGATTCATTAATTTTCATGATTATGTACAGGAATGCAGCTTTTAAGGTGTATTATATTGGCGCTGAACACATCCAAATGTACCCGTTGTTAGGTTAGGTTAATTACCCTGAACTCTATCCTTAGCCCATGGATCCTCCTTCGTTTCTCACTATGATCCACATTATCCTTACAGCTACCACAATTTTTTGTCACAAAAATTGCCTGAAGAATACTTAAACACCATGTCATTCATGAGTACCCGCGAGTTCAACATCTGACATCTGGAGCTGTTGTCAGTCGCACCATATCGCCTCATGCCTCACCACTCACCACTCAGTATCTTGTAGATTACAGAATATAAGATGAATGTAGATTACAGAATAGGATGAATGTACCAAATGACATCAGGATCACTCATAAGTGTCCGTTGACTAAAGTCATGAGACACCATAGCTACCTGTAACCTTTGTAAGTGTTTGTCACCTTTTGAACCCTTTTTGTTCAGTTCCGTAATGGCATAGGCATGACTAGGTATTTTCACTTACTTTCATATTCTCAAGGTGCACCAGGTCCGAAATCACAGTATGTGAAGATAACTACCAAATTGCTTTTACCCTCACCATTTGAAGATATGTCAATGACCAAGTAAAAAATATCATTGATCTGGACTTGCAAACAATTCTTTTGATAGACAAACAATTTCACTGACTGTTTGAAATGCAAAGTTGCAATATATACACTTTTCATGGTGGGGACAGCACGGTTCAACAGATCCAGATTTTAAAACAGAACACCTTTTACAACATGATAACCATATGTATATGATACATGTCCTATAACAATCAACACTTACTCGTCTCCAGTAGATGATTTGGGATATCCATCTTCTTTCTTGGCTCTACAAGTCGCACTGTGTTCAATAATAAATCCGGACTCATCCCAGATTCATCTCTAGGACTCATTTGAACTGAGACAGGCCTTGAGCCTGCTCTGACAACTGCACCTAGGGTAGGCATTATGCTTGAGAGAAATATGACAGTCGTCAAATTGTGTTATCCATTCATGTTCAAGATTACAACTGCACACTCAAGCTAGATGTTATTGAGATGCCATCCGGTAGCCATGTTGTTTACAGTGGAACTACATTAATGAGAACCAAAATATAGGCCACCACTCATAACGTCCAAAACCTTCACCTATATAATTTCGAGTGGATATTATGGCACTGACTAATGATATATGCATTCAAAATACCAGCAAAGAAAACGCGAAATACAAAATGAATTTATAAAAACAGCGTATTAATCGCAGGATTTAGTTCCGCGGTTGCCAAGGAGCCAGTCCATATTTATGCTTTCAACTCATCCACATGATTAAACACGTTTACAACAAACCATAATCGTAATAACAATCATTTGTAACTAGCAAACAAAAAATGTAACCATGATAGCATTACACTAATATGAACTTAGTTTATCTGATTTCAATAATAAAACAATCAACTTCATATTGTCATCCTTGAAACTTATCGCATTAGTTAAAGGAATGTAGTATATGTAACAGGAAGTAACTCTTCCATCCGAAGGTTTTCATTTACCTTCTTCCTGTTATTATTGGTTATTATTTGTCATATGCAACGTGGTGACAGTATATTGTTTCATCACGAACGTATTGAACTGAAATATGCTTGTAGTTATTATCGAGGGAAACGCAAAAGTGTTTTAACTAAACCTTTATGTTGATAGGTGAAAAGTTAATGAAAACGACCAAACAGCGAAATGTAGATCATTCTCTGGCGCCGGTCGAGAAAACCGTAAATGTCGGTGACATTACTTGGCATGTCAGTGAAAGTCAAATAGCCTCTAGTTATGATTGGGTTTTCAATGATAACGAAAACCAGCGACGGGTTGCCTTTGTGTGGCACAACTGATATTAGTAGCAAGGACCAAAGTGAAGACTATCAGTTGGCGTACAAAGATTTGAAATTTATTACTAAGAAACTTTCCAAATTCCCCGACAGATGTTCATGTACACCAAATTCATACTCCATACAGTAAGTTTCCTTCTTTATATGACATTTACAGGACACCTTATGCTGTTCCATTTTGTCAGGCCCAAAAGTTGTGGTGTTTGGGGTTTTTTTAATTTAAAGGGGAAACCAGGCTCTGGCAATTTGGCAGTCATACCAAGTTTGATGAATTCTAAACCGACATTCTTTGACTATGAACTTAAATTTTATGATGCATTTATCAATCTGATCATTCCCCTAAATACAAAGAGACAACATCTGAGAATAACGCAAGTCACTAATTACAAAGTATAGACCTTGACTTGACTGAAATTGTCTCAAGTCTGTGGAACATAGTGCCCCTTTAAGAAGACTTCTGGCTCCTTATAATTGTATCCTGGGGTCCAAAGGAATAACACAATTTCACAAGTAGAATGCAAAGTCAAAATAAAACATTCTTTGAGAGATATGGCCATGGTCATGTTTCATTCATGCCAGTCAAGTAACATTGGCCTAACTTTAGAATACAGTAACACAAACTTTTCAAACGTGTGACAATACCCTATGACATAATTTGTAGTATTTTGTTGCAAGTCACACCAGCGAAACAATGCCCTGTGACATCAAGGGTCATGGAGTGTGCACAAGCTCCTCCCAGTGATCCATCATCCTTACACGCAATGTCATTGAATACGCCCAGCGGCGTTGAGAGTTTTGAATATTTGTTTACAAAATATAGCCTGCAGCGGTGCATTTTATAGCAAGCGCTAGTTTACGAAAGTCCTTTTATTTTTTATATATTTTTTATATTTAGTTTTTCTCGTAATTCAAGTGGTTAAATGGTTACAAATGGGAGATAATATACTTATATTATTTTTTTTGTTCATTAATTTTCATTAATATGCACAAGAATGCAGTTTATTAGGGATATTATATTGGCACTGAACACATCCAAATGTCGCCAATGTTAGGGTAGGTTACCCTGAACTCTATCCTTAGCCCTTGGATCCCCTTTACGATCAATCAACCCTTTACGATCATTAGGGTTAGGTACCCGTTTAGTGGCTTCTAGATTCTATAGCGGCTCCTCATATTCTTCCCACAAAAGCGTCGAGTAAAAAGGATGAAATGGTTTTGTGTCGGATATTTTGCCTACTGGAAATTGTCCTGGTTCATTCACACAAGCAACTTTTACCGGATTACATTTTTTCAGTACTGATTCAACAGCGAACTCACCGTTGTGTCATCACTAACCATGCTCATGCCTCCCTTGTTCCTTAATATTATCCACATCATCTTTACAGTGTTCCCTACCACACTTTTCTGTCACAAAATCCACCCAACGAATTATTAAATACCATGTCATTCATGCGTACTTGCGAGTTCAACGTCCGACGTCTGACGCCTGGAACTGTTTTCAGTTCGCGCCATATTGGCTCATTTCTCACCACTCAATATCTTGTAGATTGCGGAATGGGATGAGTGTGCCAAATGGCATTGGGATCATTCGTAAGTGTCCGTAGACTAAAGTCACGAGACACCATGCCTACCCGTAACCTTCGTAAGTGTCCGTCACCTATTCGACTTTATCCGATCAGTTCCGTAACGTCGTAGGCATGACCAGGTAAATTTGCACTTAGTTTCACAGTGTGGATGTAGCTCAGTCGCTTAGCTGTCAGTCTAACAATCCGAATGTCGTGAGTTCACGTCGACGGATTTTTTCAGAAACTGGCTGCTTGTCTATGAGGCGTGACCTACGGCAGAGATCGTCCTCACGAGAAGTTGTGGTACTGTATTCTAAAGGTGCTCCATTTAACCTAAACATCAAAGTATGTTATTTTAGGGACCTTGGCCCATTTCTCAAACCATCATTGCAGAATGATATACTGAAAACTGGGGTTGAGTTTTGAAATAATCAGTAGGTTCGGACATGAGACTAAGGGTGAATTTATGTTAAATCCTAGGCGCAAACGTTGAATGGTGAAGTAGGAAAGCATACACTAACTCCAGTGCACTGATATGCATTTTCATGTGTGTAAATTATGAAGTAAAATAATTATTACAAAACAAAAATGAGGTTAGTCATCAATCATATTTTTGAGTGCATTGCTTTGAGATTTCATTTTACCCCTCTGTTATGTCTATTTTCAGTAAATGTCATACCTAACTCAAATCATTTATTGAAATAATATTCTTGTTTAACTTGACCTGTCTGCCCCCAAAATTGCCTCCACCCCTAATTTATTTTTTTGATCTTAAAGCGCTGGTTAGAAATTAAGTTTCATCTTTGCACTGGATTCAGACATTGAGGTGTGTGGATTAGAACAACATTTAAATTAAATTAGAAATAGTTTGAAAACCGCCATGAGAAACATTTTTGTTCTTTTCTTATCTGGCCTTATTATTGTATTTTAACCATAACTGGAGTTTACTCTCTGTATCATCATGTATGGCATCTTTCACTCCATCACAGCTTCAGGAGATTAAGAATGTGTTTCTAAATATTTTGTTTTCTTTTAAAGATTTAAACCACACTATTCAAAATGGGGTTTTGTAGCAATTTACAAAGTTTATTCTGGCTCTGGTTTGCTCTTCAAAGCATAGGTTAAATTATCATCATTCTGTGGACGTATAAAGAACTACTGTATTTGCCATAATAAGCATCTAGGGCACTTAGAAAATTGACAAGTATGTTGTCAGAGATGGAGCGGTGGAGAACAAACTTATTTGAAATATCAGTGAGACTATTTCAATATACAAAATACCAGGCAGTCATAGGCAGCTTTCTAAGCTGCTGCGTTGACTGCAAACAAATTTAATTATTCACAAAAAAATATGGACTATCATGTAAATTTCGGTGCTTAGTATGGGGCACTTATAAGGATTACTTACTTATTGGTCTATAACCAGGTCAAAAGGTCGAAGTGGAGCAGGGCGCTAAATACAGCGAATACAGAATTTATTAGAATCTTTAACATGATATATGATTAGACACCTTGTACCTGAGTAATACAATACCTCCGACCGATACTGAAAAGCAAAGTAAATCTTTTGTGATTTGATTGAAGTATTATCAGTATCACAGTCTTTCAAGGCTATTTGCTACAGATGTGTAATTTTAGTTTTCATTACAATTATAATCATTTTTAACTTATCCTGCTTTACTCCTTAAAGGGCAAGTTCACACGGAAATGAACCTAATTTTCTTGTACTTTTTCCACAATAAAAGTGTTAACCTAGAAGTGTCATAGACAAAAATATAAAAATATCACAATTAATCAACATATGTTTTGCATTAAAACGATTTATATTTTTCACATTTACCAAGTGTTCTATTTCCATAACAAAAACACCATGGCTTATGCCCCTTGCAATATGACGTCATTGGTGCCAATTGATAAACATTATGACGTCATCATGCTTTGTTAGAGCCGCTTCACGTGGTGTAGGTACAGGTGTGTGATTCTAGCGTCTCAGATGCCAGCCAGCATAGTGTTATGCTGAGTCATCACTGCGCCGGAGTGTGTCGTAGGCCATGTTGTTTTACCGAAAACCTGTACTTGATATCTTTTGCGTTCAGAATAGACAGGGACCCAGTTGAATTGGCACCAATTACGTCATAATCTAAGGGAGATAACTCAGGCCTGTTTAGCTCGAAAAACGAAGGCCTCATAACGGCATATCATTTTCACACTATTGTGAGCTTCCTACTTTCACTGTGAAAAAAATGAGTGTATATTTTCAAACACAGATACTAACTAATTCTAAAATTGCGTTTTGTTTAGAAAAAGAAAGAAAGTAATTTTTGCGTGTACACTTCCCCTTTAAGGCATTTAAGTATACGTCACAGAAGTGATGACGTCACATATCTTCACATTACTGCTTGTTACCCACACTGACAAGTTTTGTATGGAAATAAAGCTCCAGAATCTACTGGCATCCTTTTGCTTTTTGTTCAATTTGACATTGTACTTGTGATTTATGTCATTCCTATGGTTTATGACTTCATGTCTTACCTTTTATTTTTGCCATTGCATTATTATATTGCCCTTGATGGTGGCTGCTAGTTATTGTAAATATCATGCATATTTTTGTTCTAATTAGCCATTTTTAATTCATTCAATCGGTTGAGTTTTGGAGCTGTAAATTGGCTACTTGATGCCATTTGTGAAATATTCAGAATCAAGCAGGTCCACACATCTCCATATTATCCTCAGTCAAATAGCTGCGTTGAGAGGATGGATTCATATTCAGCCAGGCAATGCAAGCCCTACTGTGACGAGTCCCAGACCAACTGGCCCAAGTCCCTCCCATATATCATGATGGCTTATAGAATGGCCCCAAATTCATCTACCATATATGACCATAGATAAGCCAAATTTTGTAGGACCAGAAAAACCTGCTGTAGAAAGGGGTCAGTTTATGTAGGGGTTACACTTTCATCGAACTCTTTTTCTGTAGGTAAACTACATAGTATAGATTCTGGTGAATGAATAACGCCAACAAACAAACCAACAAACTTTGTCAGTGAAAATGAGAAATTTGCGATAAAACATCACTAGCCTTGATGATTTACCATTTCGATTGTACTTCTATTTACGCTAGGCATTGTTTTATGTGCAGGGATAAAGATTACGGTGTGTATTGTCTCATAAAGTAAGCAGGAAATAGCAATCGGCTGTATATCCATGTTCTCCCAATAGCACTTTTGTGTATTTTTGGGATACTTTTTTCGCATGGTACAATTTGACAAATCACCGTTGAGTTTTCGCGCAATCTCGCAGAAACAGTATGTTGACCCTGCTGATCGTCCAGTCTATCCCCATGATCCTCTCATCAGTAATGATCATGACATTTATCCTGAAGAAATTGATGAGGATCCTGACCTTCAGACAGGTCCCCCTCCAAGTGCCCCTTCATCACCATCCCCACCAAACCTTACAACAGGTGAGAAGAAGGGTAAGAACAGAAAACATAAATCACCATCACCACCTGACCTTACTACACAGGTAATAACAATAACAAGGGTGCAAAGAAGGGTAGGAAAGGAAAAATTCCTATTAGTCAACAGCAAACTCCTAAGTCTCCCACAACAACAAACACTTCACGCCAACAAGAGGGATGCACACTCCAGACAGACCTTCAGTGGAATGTACAAGAAAATCTCAAGACGGACTTCATTCCCTTGGAAATCAGCCTGAATCCATTCCAAGAATGTCGGCCTGCATTTGTGACTTCTTTTCAAGACTCGGTTTGTGGACTCAAAATCATGCTATGCTGCATGCCATCAAATAACCTTTATCAACTGTACCCATATTTACAAGTATATTTAATGTTAACTTTTCAATGATTGTACATCTATCAATTTAATTCCATATCATGTAACTTTTCAGACTGGAGGGTGATATCATGGGCATTGAATATGAACATGAGTTTAGTAATAATGCTTAATGATTTAAACTAACATAACCGTTAGAAACTGGAAGTTTCATACATTATACATGATAAATATACATTTATAAATAAAGTATTATAAAAAAATTGCTTTGCAATATCCTAAATATCAAACCATAAATACATTGTCACATGACCCAAAACATTCAATAGTTATCTATATTGAAACAATGTTTAATCTAAAAGCAATATTAAGCTATGACTTAATTTGTGGTGTCTTTATATCAATATAAACAAACCTTAGACCCTATAATCCAACTATAAGAATAATATCCTAAAATAACATTGTTGACACCACTTGATTACCTCTATATTCTACCTGTGAAGATTTGGGGTAGAATAGGCCTTCAGCAACCCATGCTTGCCATAAAAGGCGACTATGCTTGTCGTAAGAGGTGACTTACGGGATCTGATGGTCAGTCCTGCTGACTTGGTTGATGCATGTCATCGTATCCAAATGGTGTGGATCAAGGCTCATGATGTCTGGTCCAGACTCAATTATTGACAGACCGCCATCATATAGCTGGAATATTGCTGAGTGCGGCGTTAAACAACAAACAAACAAATAAACCTCTATATTCTATGAGTCTTGACAGCGCCCTAATTACCGAGGGCTAATCACCTAAAACAAGAGATGTCACCCACCACCTAGTTAGTGTCAAAGGATACACATCTTAAAGTTCCAAATAGTTCAAAACCTTAAATGTTAATCCCTAATATGGTTAGTCCCCACAACCTAACCTTAATGTGATTGGTAAACTAACCCAAACCAATGATATAATTTGTATACATGTAGGGTAGTATAAATATTGGTCTGGGAAGAAGTGTCTGCAGACTTGCTCTTGCCTTCCTTTGAACATGCTCGGTCCCTGGGAAGTCTGTTGTTGTTCACCACTGTTGTAAAAATTAGTTTGCTTCCTATATATACCGTATGTATATATATCATCTGTGTATATTGTACTGGTCGTCTCCTGTTCTACCTGGCTAAGCTGCCATAGTCTGAACATTATAGGAGCTTGAACCTCATCTTCAGCTAAATGCGGGATTCTTGGTTACTGTGCAGGGTAATTTAAATGTCACGTGTCAAGAACTCTCTGACTGTAAACATGTCTGACCAGAATTAGGTCAACGGACCTAATGCCAGCCATGCAGTGTTTTTCTGCAGATTGGTTTGCATGCTTACTTGTACTTTATGCTGCAATCCCTTGATCAGATGCCTGTCGCTGATATCAATGTGACCCGAGTCACTTACTTCAGTAGATCTCCAATGCCTACATGCAGAGTAATGGGACACCACCCTTCAGCGTCCCCTTGATATAAGACGGGAGCGCTTATATTGCACCAAGGGAATTGGAACGATCACCTTACTTTGTACTGTATGATCTTTCAGACCAAAGTATTATATATTCAGCCTTCTCTAATGAAAATATCGAGGTTATAAATCTTCCCACAACCTCCGATGACAACACAGGGAGTAAGGAGGCACCCGGTCCCCTCTTCATCATCACCTTCATAAAGAAAGGGAGCGTTTATACAACGCCCAGGCGATGGATATGATCGCCTTACTTCGTACATTATGATCTTTCAGACCAAACTTTTATGTTTATAATCAGCTTTGTCTACTGGATACAGCTTCGACTTCCCACGACCGTTACGTCTATGCCTCGGCATTATTTAGTCTGCATGGGATCTGGCTTTGGTTTTCAGATGAACACAACTTTCTACGTATTGTCATGGCTCAAAATGATCAGAAACCCTCCTGAAGATTTTTCAGCTTTACAGTCTCGTAGACAGCCTACCAGTAATCAAATCTACTACACGCTCTTCTACAACTGATAACACTGTGTCAGTGATCAGTGACAAGTGATCATGGGATTGCTCGCGTCATCCCAGGATTTAATGAGCAGAGGTTGCCTACGCCTCAGTCCGATCCATCAGTTCCTGGTGTCTCCCTGGTCATCCCAACATCGACCTCTTCGCCACTTGCCAGAACTACCAGATCTCAACGTATGTCTCCCGATCACAGACCCGCAGGCTTGGGAGGTAGACGCATTCAGCATCACTTGAGAAGGACAAAGAGCGTATGCTTTTGGGCCACCAGTACTGCTTCCTAAGGTGATGCAGAAGATCCGGGCAACCAAGAGCCTCGCTCAGACTTTGATCATGCCTTGGTGTCCAGCGGAGGGGCTGGTTTGTGGATCTCAAAGACAGACGCCCCCCTCAAACTACCAGGTTGGCCATACAGACAGGTTTTCATCTCACACCTGGTACATGTGCAAAGGGCCTTAGGTGCCAAGGGTTAACTGGCCAGAGCAGTGACAGCTCTAAATTTGTCTCTCAGACTTTCTATCAGGAGAATTTACGACGACAAGTGGTGATCCTTTGAGAGTCGTTGCAAAAACCCCGCTACTGCATCTCTCCCCCAGTCATTGTGCAATTTCTTCTGTACCTCAAGGGCAGTACCATCACCACTTACCTGGTGGCCCTTAACTCGGTATTGGCAGTCCCGTGGCTTATGAGATTGCTATTCTGAATCCTCCTATGGCAAACAACCCACACAAGCTCTGGGTGGTCGCATCTACGATGACTCCACAGCATTTGCTCCATCAGATCCACCATGGAAGGATGTCTCTGGAGATTCGACAGTCCTTGCCAGCCACTACCTGAGAGACATGGCATTGGAAGATGTCGAACACAGCTTTGGTCCTTTGGTCCTTTGGTGGTTGCCCAGCAGGTCACCAACCCCAGACACCATTGACTTCTCCAGCAATCCAGAGCAGGCCTTTCTGACTCTATGCTGCTTTCACCCCAGATAAGGAGGCTTCCATGCTGCAAGCACTGGCTCGGTAAGTCTTAGACTCTAACGTAAGCTATTTTCTACTCCTGTTCTTCCTGGACTTTCTTCATACTCTGGCAGGAATAATCTCCTGGTTTCCCTGGACTCTTTGACAAAGGTCTCTTGAGGATCCAGTTCAGATGTATTAAGGAGTAATTCAGGATAAGTTAAAATTTCGTAAAATCTAAATATTTTTAACATTTGTATACTTATCCTCATTACTACGTCTAAAGTGGCCAACCCGTCGCTGAGCTTCCTCCCCACCATGTCTTCAGATGTTACGATCTAGCAGTTTTGTAATGATACATGACGTCATCACTTCTGTTGGCGCTGTGCGTTCACCCATCTAGTTTGAACAACTTTCATGTCAGCTGGACCTCGCACAGCATCATCTTTCTGTCAAAAACAGCAGTAAATGCATTAAGGAGTAATCAAGGATAAGTATACAAAATGTAAAAAGTATTCAAATTTTACTAAAATGAAGTCATTGAAGTATTATTTTAATATATTAATCATGCTACAGCAAATGAATTGTTTTCCTTGTCAATTTCAGTTTCACAAGTGCTGTTGGTTTGACGTTTCTTGTGCTTTGTGAATCTTCCTACCCAGTTGTGTTGGCCTTTTCATTTTTGGATGAAATACAAAAGGAATTCATACAGGCATATGAAAGACACAAGACTGTTGAGGCATCATTAAGGCCATATGCTTACATTAAGTTTGGTAAGTTCTAGTTATTAATGTCAGTAATAATGCGGGGTGGAGATGGTTTATTTGAAAGTATAAGCCAAAGGGGGTGAAAGAAGGGTTGATTGCCCTCTTTGTCCTATCATCTTTCTTGGAGACTTGTTGAATTTCCACCAGTGAACAGCAAGTGAAATATTGAAATCTGACTCTTATTTTTTGTCGTCCATTTACGACATAACCATGATAACCATTACCTGAAAAAATGTATACTGGAGGGTTCAGACAATGCTTAGAAGTAAAAAGAATGCCATATATACAGGAAACAGATTGACAGCTGGCCAAAACCTTCTTTCACCCAGTCAATATGGGGTATATAACACGTATAGAATGTTTATGCTTCCTAATTACTGTAATACTGAACCGATTATCTGATCATGGCACACATTACATTGGGTATATTTTGGTTTTCTTATCATGCATATGTTCTATCATGTGTCTATTCTAATAAGATAAATCATGTGTCATATGCAGTTTTCATTCCTTCTGATTCCATGTTAGGCAATAAAAATCATGCATCCTCGAGCATTAAAAGTTATGTTCAGAAAAATAAGAATCTTTTCCTGCCACCTGACTGAAAGTCAAGTGAGCTTTTGTCGTGGTCTGTCAAGTGTCGTCCATCTTCAGTCGTAAATATTTTTTCCCTCAGAAACCACTGGACCAGTGAAACTGGAATTACACATACTTCTTCTTACGTTAATGGTGACCCCCCAATTTGTTCAAGAGGTTTGAATCACAGCTGCCATTTTGAAATAACCTCCTTATGGCCATTTCTCAGCCTTTTTTGTGCAAAATGTAATGAAATTTGGTACATGTATAGATAGTTCTTGGACTCAATGCATGTTCCATTATTTGCGATATTTTAAAATTTGACCTTCGTTTGAGCGTTACCCTTTGGACCATGCACATAAATTCTCGCAAAATGCATTGTTTCGCAGTCTAAACATCATCTCAGAAATCACTGATCTGATGAAGCTGAAACACCACATGCTTGTTTCTACCAAGGTTTAGTATTACTGTACCTACCTGCCAATGTGCCTACAATCCAATATTCCCACGACCACCTCCATGGTCTAGTGGTAGAGCGTCTGCCTGGAAAGCAGAAGGTCCGATCCCAGTCCACGTCATACCAAAAGACGTTCGAAGATGGTAGTTGCAGATAATGAATATTGTGGATAGTTCCTTGTTTCAAAGGACCGCCTCCGTGGTCTAGTGGTAGAGCATCCGCCTGGAGAGAGGAAGGTCCGGGGTTTGATCCCCGGCCGCGTCATACGTTAAAAGATGGTACTTGTTGTTACCCTGTCTGACGCTCGGCATTAAGGGGCGAAAACAAGGACTGGTCAGCTTGGAGTCAGTACACTGTGTCTGTGTGGGGTATTTATGTTAAACTGCAGCATGCTACCTGATCTATCACTAAAAAAATGGCATTTGTTCGGACTAGTGCACACATGCACACCTGTACATGCACATCGCTTTTTATGTGCAATACTCTTGGATGCGATGTTAAACCCCATTTCAGCTAACCTCACCACTAATGTGCACACAACATGTGTCGGTCCTCTCTGTGCAGACATTTCTCTGTCTTACAGAAAATCACTTGCTGAATTTTGCATTTATCTGCCACAATATTCATCAAATACACTGCAGAAATTTAACATGTGAGACAAAAGTTGGATTTAATGTGTAAAAGTTGCATAAGTTTACTGAAACAAGCAGTCATTGCATTGTATTAATCAATTCATTCCAAATAATTATTTGAGGTGTTTGTGTCATGGAGAAAAGAAAAAACAGTTTACAAACAATCTTATAAATATCTTATGTTTGCATGTATGTATGTTTTAAGCTGATTTAAGCCATGGATAAGTTTATCATAAATGCCTGCCACAATTCAGACAGATGCAAAAGTCACGAGAAAAAAGCTTAAAAGGGTGCAATGTTATCAAAAGTTGGTGTCAGAATTTACAAAAAATGACCGCAGAATTTAGATTTTTGTAGTTGTGGAGTACAGCAGGGACTAATGTTAGGATTTCTGTGTCAACACCCTAACTATAGCAATAACAAGACAGGCTGAACATATTCACAGTTTCCACTAATTCATCAACATGATCAAGTTTACCAGAGTTCATTGAGATAAGACCTCTGTGCAAAAACATCGGCCTTGATGATCTGATTGACAATCTGAAGGCAGAAAGTGGTGAGTATTTAAACTGTTCTTCAGCGACTGGTGTCTCAAGCATAAACTGTACATATGCTAATGTTTACAAACAATAACCATGTGACCATCACATGACATAAACATGGCTCATCGAGTGTGAAGCTGTGATTTGTGATCAGCTGGAGGTACACACCGGAAAAGGACTGCTATTGATCATGAATAAGGTACTTTTGTAACCCCTTTCCTATGATTGATTTTCAAGCGAGTTATATACCCCTGTCTTGAAACTGGGACTAATACCGAAGAAGTAAATTCAGTTGGGACTGTCATTGTTTAATAAATATTGCTATGAGTGTTAACATGTGCTGCTGGACATTGTTCAGTTTTCATTGTTTCATTGTAATTTTCGTTTGTGTATAATATTCAAATACTTGCCTTACTCTGTTGTGAATGACAGTGTTCATCTTTTGTGTTGTTACATTCATGTTCTTTGTTTGTTATGTCAAAATCTTAAAAAGCATTTCCAAAGTTATCTCCAGACAATTTTAAGGGCAACATTTACATTAAGGTACTTACAATTTCTTTCATTAATGGATAATAAGGTAAAGATAGTATCTGTAAACTGTAGAGGGCTTGCTGAAAAAAGTTAACGTAAAGAAATAATGAAAACATGGTGAAAAAAAGAAATAATGTATCATCTGTCTTCAGGATATCCACATCTCAGAAAAAAAAAAAACAAACGATGGATACTATCTGGTCCCAGCCTACCTCCTTTGCACGGGACCTGATGTTGAAAGACTAGGTTGCGGCATTGGACGAACTTTTTACGAAGTTGTCTCTTACTCTGGCATTCAAGGCTACTTAATTCCGAAAGGATGAATTGCCTATCCACGCTTTTAAGTTGGCGGATGTTGCTCATATATGTTTTGGATGAGGATCTTCATTGCATGACTGGCTCCGCCAAGCCTACAACCGTCAGAATCCCAGACACGTGGTTGGCTTTCATAGAGACAGAGATTCGGCGCTCTCCTTAACCTTTGTCTGCTTCAGTGTCTTCATCTCGCGCCATTGATTAGGACCTGACAGAGACTAATCATTATCAGGTGGATGATCAGTTATGGTCTACTAGCAGCGTCAGATAGATCACATGCACAATCATCTCAAGGCTGCTCTTGCTGAAATCACTGCGTCTTGTCGCCTTTTCTACCAGGCTTTAACTGATTGGGACTCTGAGTTTAAGAGGAAGCTACTACGCCAAGCTTGGTCCTCATCTTCCCTCCAAATCAACATCAGCTTCTGTTAAAAAAAATAAACACACTACTAAACAAGAAGGCCATAGAGATTGTAAATGCCCCAGCCATTAAACCAGACTTCTACTCTCCAGAGCTTGAAGAATTTCTTTATACCCAACTTGTCCTGCAGGGCAAGTAGATATTCTTTTATAATCGTCCTGCAATATTTTCTCTTGCCCTATTAAAATACAGTTTTGTCCTCAGTTATTATTACCATTTTCTGTAATCAACCTTTGAGTTGAGGGTATTTACAACAAACAGTACAAAATAATTCAGGTTTCACTCAATACCCATAAAATGTGCCTGTACTCTCAAAAGGAAATAAAGTGATAAATAACAAAAATCAGCCATGAACATTTCGTTTTCGTTTTGAAACAGTTTTTGAACAGTCATACTGGGTTTTTTTAAAAATAAGTCATTTTTAGCTCACCCGGTCCAAAGGACCAAGGTGAGCTTATGCTGTACCATGGCGCTGTCGTCCGTTGTCCTTACATCAACAAATTACAATTCAAAGGACTTCTTCTTCTGAACCTCTAATTGGAATTTAATGAAATTTGACTGCAAGCATCCCTAGGCGGTGGGGATTCAAAATTGTACAAATGGCAGGGCTGAACCCCCCCCCCCCCCCCCCCCCCCGAGGGGCGGGGACAAATAGTGGAAATGGGATTTAATTGCTTTTAACGGCTTCTTCTCTGGAACTAAGATATAGATATCAACCATATTTGGTTGGAAGCATTCTCCGGTGGTGAGGATTCAAAACTATACAAATGGCGGGGCTGACCCCCCCAAGGGGCTGAGGGGCAGGGCCAAATGGGTGTAATTTGGCTATTTTGCTTTAAACGACTCCTTCTCTGGAACTAGGTGACAGATATCAACCATATTTCTGTAATCAACCTTTGAGTTGAGGGTATTTACAACAAACAGTACAAAATAATTCAGGTTTCACTCAATACCCATAAAATGTGCCTGTACTCTCAAAAGGAAATAAAGTGATAAATAAAAAAAATCAGCCATGAACATTTCGTTTTCGTTTTGAAACAGTTTTTGAACAGTCATACTGGGTTTTTTTAAAAATAAGTCATTTTTAGCTCACCCGGTCCAAAGGACCAAGGTGAGCTTATGCTGTACCATGGCGCTGTCGTCCGTTGTCCGTACATCAACAAATTACAATTCAAAGGACTTCTTCTTCTGAACCTCTAATTGGAATTTAATGAAATTTGACTGCAAGCATCCCTAGGCGGTGGGGATTCAAAATTGTACAAATGGCAGGGCTGAACCCCCCCCCCCCCCCAAGGGGCTGAGGGGCGGGGACAAATAGTGGAAATGGGATTTAATTGCTTTAAACGGCTTCTTCTCTGGAACTAAGATATAGATATCAACCATATTTGGTTGGAAGCATTCTCCGGTGGTGAGGATTCAAAACTATACAAATGGCGGGGCTGACCCCCCAAGGGGCTGAGGGGCAGGGCCAAATGGGTGTAATTTGGCTATTTTGCTTTAAACGACTCCTTCTCTGGAACTAGGTGACAGAT